CAACAGCTGCGGGGCAGCGCTTGGGCAGCAAATATATTTATGGCTATAACTGCTAAATCGGTCTATCATGATGAAACTTGGCATACAGACACATAAGCACTAACTGGGAGCATTTGCAACAGTTCGAAATTCCAAGAATTACGGGAGTTACGATTTGCTGGGGAGAGGGGGAGGGAGGGAAATTCCAAATACACATCACATAAAGCATCTTGAACTTGAAATTTGGTGTTCTAGGTCTTACAGTCTCCGAGATATAGGCGATTATACAAATGGAAAATCGGGAAAACACCCATAGGGGTAAAGTGGGGGGGATAAAAAAAAATTTGGTGTCTCTATCTCTTATAGTCTCTGAGATCCAGGTGTTCATACGGACGGACAGACAGACAGGGCTAGATCGACTCGTCTCGTCACGCTGATCAAGAATATATATACTTTGTGGGGTCTGCCACGCCTCCTTCTGCCTGTTACATTTTCAGCTCCCGCAAACCTAATATACTGTTGTACATTTCATGTAGAGTATAAAAATTATTTTCTGGCTACAACTTCTATGTGACAAATCATCCCGATGGTAAGGCTCATGGAGGTACTGCCATCCTGACATCAGGCACAACTATATAACGCTATAATAACACCACGAAACAAGCTTGACTTTATTTCTCCGGGCTGGCCTACATCTTGGCCCACAGACCTATCAGTCTCCTGCCGTGCCTACCGAAGATATTCGAAAAACTGCTCCTGAATCGCATCAAACAGCACCTACACACCAATAGTGCAATCCCAAATCACCAACCTGGTTTTCGCGAAAAACATGGAACCATTGAACAAGTCAACCGAAAAACCTCTGAGATACGAAATGCATTCGAAAAACGAGAATATTGCTCCGCTGTTTTTTGGATGTCGCCCAAGCCTTTGACCGCGTTTGGCTGGATGACTTAGTTCACAAAATCAAAATATTACTTCCACAGAACATCCATAAAATTCTGGAGTCATACCTACAGCAAAGAAGTTTCGCAGTTAGATGCAAATATTTTCTCTCCGAATACCATCCAATTGAAGCTGGTGTACCCCAAGGGAGCGTGCTTGGACCGACACTGTATATCATATACACAGTAGATATAATGAGCTACAGAACTCTTATGATCTCACCTCGTGGCCATAGAAGAATGGCTAGCTGACTGTAAACATGTCTCCTCTACCCTAAACAAACAAACCTGCCCTCCATTGTCGCTGAACAACATCAATATTCCGCAAAAAACCAATGTAACATACCTTGGTGTCCATTTGGATGGACGGCTTACTTGGCGCAAAAACATCGAAGCGAAGAGAGATCAACTGAAACTAAAAGCCATTAATCTACATTGGCTTATAAACGTCCGTTCACCACTAAAACTGGAGTACAAAGTACTCTTGTACAATGCAGTTCTCAAACCAATTTGGACATATGGCTCTGAACTATGGGGAAACGCTTCCATGAGCAATTTAGAGTTAATCGAGAGAGCTCAATCGAAGATACTGAGAACCATCACCCAGATACATACAGAGTGAAAATATCCGGAATGATTTAAATCTGGCATCAGTTAAAGATAAAATCGCTAAGGTGAAAGAATAGTAAGCTTCGGAACCAGCCAAATAGACTTGCGCAGATTTTAACTTGACAGACTAGCCATACACGACTTCGGAATGTGTTACTTGTGCCAGGTATCGACAAATCACTACAAATCAAATAATGGCAATTCTAGCAAAGCATAGAGTTACAATGTCATCCATTTTTAAACACACACTGGAAAGTAGTGAGTGATTTAACATCAGATGCTTTTTTAGCGATATTAAAAAAATTTTTTGGAAGAAGAGGAAAGTGTTCAAATATATACAAGTACTCTGACAACGGAACAAACTTTGTGTGAGCCGCTAGAAAATTAGATAAAGAATTTTTAAAAGCAATACAAGATAATGATTCAATGGCACTTTATTTCCGCGGCAGGGCCCCACTTCGGAGGTATTTGGGAAGCTGGGGTAAAATCAGTAAAATATCACATAAAGTGAGTCATAGGGGACAGCAGCTTAACGTACGAAGAGATGGCGACACTTTTATGCCAAATTAAAGCTGTGGTGAACTCACGACCACTATATACTACTGAAGCTGATATTGATGACAAAGAAATATTGACACCAGGGCATTTCCTGATCGGCAGACCGATAATTGGTGCAGTAGAATCAATAGCAGAAGATAGAATAGAAAATTTATATAAATGGAAACTGATACAAAAAATGAAAAGGGATTTTTGGAAAAAATGGAAGGAGGACTATTTATAATTGTATACCCTACAGCAAAGAAACAAATGGAGAAACAGAAGTAAAGATTGAGAGAAAGGACAGAAAGTCCTTCTAAAGGATGAAGAGTGTCACCCAGCTAGATGGCCAATGGGAAAAATTGAAGAGGTTCATAAAGGAATGGATGACAAAGTTAGGGTAGTAACGATAAAGGTACAACAAGGGACTCTCACAAGACCTATAAGTATAATATGCCCTCTTGGTTAAATTAAATCAAACGATAGAGAATAAACTGATACACCAGAAGGGGAATATGTCTCTCGCGGAAGACCTCGAAAAATAGGGGCAATGATAATTATAACCCTACTGATGATACGCACAGTAGTAACACGAGTAACAAATGCAGCCGTAGTATCAGGAAAACAAGGGAACTGGACATTGGAAAATTTTAATAAAACTGCCAATTTACTTAGACCCAAAACGTGAAGTCTAACTAGTATCTTCGTCTTGGAACCTAGTAATTTACTATGAATTGGACGCATATTTTGAATTGCAATCCAAAGGTAATCGGTTAATTCAAATACTCTGTACATATGTTTAGAATAATTATAGAAATTAAAAAAAGTAAGAGAATTAAAAAAAAAAATTTCGATCAATTTTACCTCTTTTGGTATTTGAACTCACGTAAAGGGTGTATAATTGCACATATTCAAAGCACTCGCGTCTATGTGAGTGTATGTATGTTTATGCGCGCCTATTCGTGTCTGTGTAAGCATGTTCGCAGTCAACCAAAGCACCAGCATCAACAACAGCCGCGGGCAGCGCTTGGGCATATATTTATGGCTATAACTGCTAAATCGGTCTATCATGATGAAACTTGGCATACAGACACATAAGCACTAACTGGGAGCATTTGCAACAGTTCGAAATTCCAAGAATTACGGGAGTTACGATTTGCTGGGGAGAGGGGGAGGGAGGGAAATTCCAAATACACATCACATAAAGCATCTTGGACTCAAATTTGGTGTTCCTAGGTCTTACAGTCTCCGAGATATAGGCGATTATACAAATGGAAAATCGGGAAAACCCCCATAGGGGTAAAGTGGGGGGATAAAAAAAAAATTTGGTGTCTCTATCTCTTATAGTCTCTGAGATCCAGGTGTTCATACGGACGGACAGACAGACAGGGCTAGATCGACTCGTCTCGTCACGCTGATCAAGAATATATATACTTTGTGGGGTCTGCCACGCCTCCTTCTGCCTGTTACATTTTTCAGCTCCCGCAAACCTAATATACTTCTGTACATTTCATGTACAGAGTATAATTACCTTTTTTTATACAGATGGGTCTCAAATCAATGGGTCAATAGGATATGCAATAACTACGAAAAACACAGTTTTAAAATTTGGTATTTGTACGGCTTTAAGCCGGTAACTTGGCGGTATGGCAAAAGCAAAGGATTCACAAATTTTATATAAAGAAATACGGTGTCTTTCTATGCACGATTTATTGGGCTAAGAAAAATTATCACACGTTCGCACAGCTACTTTAATTGTAGCGAAGTTACATATAATACAAAGGCCGCCGCAGTAAGCACAACATAAGAGCGGCAATTGCAATTATGCTGCTCGCAGGCAGCTGCAGTGTACGACAATTTTCTCTTAACTAATGCGTTGCTTTCAATTATAATCTCTTAAATAATCTTAAAACTAAGTGAAATGCTTTTACAGTATTTTTACAACAGTCTTTTCACCTGAAATTATCGCAATATATGAAGCTTCACGACTACTTAGAACCAATCGCGGTAGATTTATAATCTTCTCACACTCACTCTTCTCACTGAACGCTATAAAAAACACCTCCAACTCCTCTTTTTATGACAGTGAATTCGAAATCTACTCATTAGGCTATCTCCCAAATTCAGCTAAAGATAAAGAGTGGGCAATAGAATTCAATTTCTTCGGAAGATATCAACGGCCAATCATTACTAGCCTATTTTAAATTAACCAGAGCGAGCCTATGTGTAATGGATTTTATTTTCTCACCAAAGCATACCCAAAACCTTCCAAAAAGTATCCAAAAGAGTTCCTTGGTGGAACTCGCCGTGCATAAATCGTAACAGGCGACGAATCTTGGATATACATGTATGCGTATGGACCGGAAACCAAACAACAATCGACTGTGTGGATGTTCCAAGACGAGGCAAATCCAACAAAAGCAGCGCTCGAAGCACTGCGAAGCAAATGGTCGCCTGTTTCTTCGACCGAATGGATCACGTGCCCACTTTCCTGCTTGGGCAACGTAGGACGGTAAATTCTGAGTGGTACACGACCATTTGTTTGTCGGAAGTCTTCAGACAAATTCGCAAAACCAACCGCCAAAGACGAATCATTCTTCATCATGACAATGTGAGCTCTCACACATCTCGTCAAACATGTGATTTTTCAGCAGTCAAAACATCGAATTGATGACTCATTATCCGTACAGTCCTGATTTGGGTCTGCTTGTCAAAGGTAAACAGTTAAAGCGTTTAAAAACCATTTTTGGAAGTGTCTCAAGAGGAATGGAAAACAGCTATGACAAATGGTTTGAACAAATGCAAATCATGGTAAATATTTTGATAACCAAAGTATTTTGAATTATGGCAATATAATTCTAGTGCAACGTAATACATTCACCCATATGAATCTAAACTCTTTAATGTGTCTTTTCTGCTTACAATACTTACCTTTTGAGCCACTTGTTGTGGTAGGATAAAATAAATTGTTTTTTATACTCATTTCATCGTCATCATCACAAAATGTGATATGTGTATTTCTAATATTTCCTACTTTATTGGTTTCAGCTTCACTTAAATTTTCGGAATTTGATGCATTTTTCATTAGATGAGCAGTATTTAAGCTTTTATGCGATAGCACGTTCTGTGCCCCGTCAATCGAAAATTTTGGTTTGTGTACCGATAAATTAATATTATTAATCTCTCCTCGATAATCGTCGCTTGATAAAGAGTGGTCGGGGTCCAATCCACTATCTTTAGTTTGTTCTCCACTTGAGAAAGATATTTCAGAAGATCCCACATTCTTTTTAAAAAGATGTAATAAATTTCCTCGTCCAGACATGTTCTAAAAATAAATGTTATATACTGATATCAATTATAGAAATGTGTGTAATGTACTAAAATTCACGATGTGTGTTACTCACAAAAAAATGCATTAAGTTATAGCACTTGTAGGGAAATTAGACCATCATTTATATGATTGTCAATTGATAGTAATATTAATAAACATTATACATTATTATATTATATTATAGTTATAGTTAGTTATACATTAGTTAAGACAATAATACTTTACATGCTAATATGTAACTGGACAGGTTTAAGTGAAACACTTTGTAACTATGAAACTTAAAAACTATTGAAATTTAAAACAATTAAAAAAGCTAAAGTCGGGTGTCCCGTCTTTGAAATACTCTGTACATATGTTTACAATAATTACAGAAACTAAAAAAATTAAGAAAATTAAAAAAAAAATTTGGATCGATTTTACCTCTCTCGTTATTCGAACTCACGTAAAGGGTGTATAATTGCACATATACAAAGCAAATGCGTCTATGTGAGTGTATAAATGTATATGCGCATCTATTCGTGTCTGTGTAAACATGTTAGCAGTCAACCAAACAGCAACATCAACAACAGCTGCGGGCAGCGCTTGAGCAGCGATTATATTTATGGCTATAAGTTCTTGTTAAATCGGTCTATCATAGTGAAACTTGGCATACGGACATATAATAACTAACTGGGTGTATTTGCAAAATTTGAGTTTGAAAATCCAAGAATTACGGGAGTTACGATTTGCGGGGAAGAGGGGGAGTGAGGGAAATTCCACAATACACATTTTTTGCGTATTCACATAAGGCATCTTGGACTGAAATTTGGTGTTCCTAGGTCTTATAGTCTCCAAGGTATAGGCAATTATACGAAAATCCGGAAAACCCCCATAGGGGGGAAGTGGGGGGAAAGTCCACAATATATAACACACTCGTATAGCGTACACACAAAAAATGTGCAAAATTTGGTGTCTCTATCTCTTATAGTCTCTGAGATCCAGATGTTCATACGGACGGACAGACAGACAGGGCTAGATTGACTCGTCTTGTCACGCTGATCAAGAATATATATACTTTGTGGGGTCTGCCACGCCTCCTTCTGCCTGTTACATTTTCAGCTCCCGCAAACCAACATTTCATGTACAGAGTATAAAAATAAGAAAATGAGAACAGGAGAGAACGCTACTTTCGAGCAAGCCGGACAGTAAAATACCCTGTACTCTCCACAAAAAGGAAATTAAAAAACAAACTTTAATTCATTAATTAAATAAAATAAAACATATTCCATACATATGTACATCCAGTTGTGCTCAAAATAATAGTAATATTTTGCACTACGTTCTACCGTTCGTATTTTTGTGTTTCCTTTCATTTTTAATCCTTTCTTTCTACCTATGTGATCTACAACAAGAGCACAATAAAATGTCGCGTTACTTTAGCTTTTTGCGCATTTGTTGTATTTGTTATTTGCATTATCCACAGCTTGTCCCTATTCTACGCGCTCAAAATAATAGTAGTGCTTGCACAAACATTCCAAAAATATTAAGTGTGTCGCTCCTTAAGCTCACGAAAAGTTGCAAATAGTTACTTCTATTATTTTTTAATACTATTTTACAATAGTATTTTAGTTGTTTTTTTTTTTTTTTTTCAGTCACAAATCTGCATTCATAGAGTCCAGACGTGACTAACCCTTACGCGCTTGACTGCATCAGTCTTCGTTCGTTTCTAAAAGCAAAACCGACAACTAACTACCAAAAACAATTCTATATGTGAAACAGTTACAGTGCAAACAATTCAATTCGGCTTACAACAATTACAGCAGCTTTAGCTGAAATCTTGGCTCCCAAATCTATTTATAGATTAGCGTCTACGAAGAGCATGGCAGACCCACCCGATCGCAGTATTTCCGCCGTTGACCCTGTGAAACGTCTAGCATTTAAACTCGACAAAACCATTATGCTGTCCAGGCAAACAGCTGGACCTAAGTTTCTTATTATGAAAAGAACCGACGATAATAATACACTAACTGACGTCTCGCCTTTTTTAATTAAAAAAGTTATTGACAACTTGTGTGCAGGTGAAATCAGTGAATGCGAAAAACTGCGTAACGGAACAATCTTCCTAAAAACCAAAACCTTAATGCAAGCAGCAAAACTCATCCAATTAACCGCCCTCACCAACTTTATTAATGTCAACGTGTCCGAACACCAATCGCTAAACTTCACCAAAGGTGTTATTTACTGCAACGATTTGCGTGACATTCCCGAGACTGAAATTCTCACTGTGCTTAAAAAACAAAATGTCGAGTGTAAAAAAATCCTAAAAAAAGAAAACAACTCCTTTAAAGAAACCGGCCTTATCATCCTCACATTCGGCTTATTAGAACTCCCTTCTAATATTAACATCGGCTACCAAAAAGTCTCAATCCATACATTCCCCAACCGCTAAGATGCAAAAATTGTGGCCGCTTCGGCCACCCAACACCCAACTGTAGAAGCACAAAACCCTGCCTCGATTGCAGCAATGCTGCCCACACCGACCTTGGTGAAACATGCCTCAACCTGAAATGCTGCATCAACTGTAAGGAAAGCAACATAAACAACTACCACCACAGCCCCTTGGTTCGCAACTGCCCTATTTTTATAAAATAAAAGGAACTGCAGGCCATCAAAACTGACATGAAAAACGCCCAAAAAATATACAATGAGCGTTATCACTCCACCAACCCATCCTCATCACTTTCTAGACACACTACACACATTACCACTCCTCACAACTCTCGCCAGCCAGTATCATACGCCGACACCGTCACTGCATCAACCGACATTCCCTCCACTGCGACTTCACCGCCCCCATCACACCCGACGCCATCATCAACGCCCTCGCTGGAGTCCAAAATTTTATCAGCCACTAAAATCAAAATAGCTACAGCTCCCTCCGAAACTAGCAATATTATAAATAAAAAATCTTTTAAACCATCCCTTAATTCTAATACTTTAAAAAAAGCCAAAACTACTTCCACTTCTAACTGATGACGACACCTTGATGTCTCCTTAAAGCTTTACTTTTCATAATATTTATAAGTAATATAATTTGTTTTATACCTAATCCTGAAATATGTTAAAAGTACTACAATGGAATTGTAATGGCTACTTTAACAACTATGAACACTTACAGATATTGATCAACAAATTTCAACCAAAAATTATTTCATTACAAGAAACACACTTACACTCTAATTCAAACATTCCTAAACCCTTAAACTACTGCCTCTATTTAAAAAATTCATCCCAAGCGTCATCGGGAGGAGTTGCGCTGCTCATTCACAACTCCATCCAACATACTGAACTATCTATTCCAAATGACTTCGATACTGTCGGAACTCAAATTTCTTCTAAATTAAAATTCAATATTATGTGCTCCTACATCCCACCAAACAAACTTCAACTTCATAACGTTTTCCATAACCTATCTTTTCCCTCTTTGATTACCGGAGACTTCAACAGTTGGCATCCTTTGTGGGGATCACCATCTAGTAATAAAAAAGGCAACATCATATTTAAATTTCTTAGTGTTTCCCCGTTAATATTACTTAATAATGGATCCCCCACCCACTTTAACACACACAACACATTCACTCACATTCTCGACCCCATCACTAGAATTCACTCCTCATGGAATATCGAATCTGATACTTAAGGTAGCGACCACTTCCCCATCTTAATCACTCTATTCAACAACAACGATCCTCCAATAATAACACCAAAATTTATCACTGACAAAGCCAACTGGAAGAAATTTGAAGAAGCGTCATACAACTTTCACATAGTCCGTCCTACAAGCAATAACATTAACAAGAGAGAACGCTACAGTCGAGCAACCCCGACAGTGTAATACCCTGTACCCAGGTAAACTTCCGTCACTGAGTTATATGCGCCCATAGCAGCAGCAAAAAGAGGAAGAAGAAGAGCGAACTTGTTGCTGCAATTTGGGGGGGTTGTACTGGCGAGAATTTGAATTGAATAAAACAGTAGACAATTATATATAAATTATGTGTGCAAAGTTTGGTTTAGGTAGCATTTGAAATGTGGACGCTATTGACGAAATTCTGTAGCGGGGGAAGGGGGGGAAAATTAAAAAAAATAAAATAAACTCGTCCTTACTCGGACCTAGGAGAATATGGGTGCCAACTTTGGTTATTCTAGCTTTTATAGTTTCTGAGATCCTTGCGTTCATCCAGACGGACAGACGGACGGACAGACGGACAGACGGACGGACGGACATGTCTAGATCGATTTCTCTCGTCATGCTGATTCAGAATATATATACTTTATGGGGTCGGAGATGCTTCCTTCTGTATTACGCTTTGCACAATCGTTTTCGGGTCATTTGCAGTAATTATAATGATCTTTCACATTTACTTTCGACAGAACTCTCTCTCTGTTCTGTAAAGATTATTCTTTATAATTATCTTCGGGAAAATCTCTGACCACTTCTGCTGTGAGTCGGGGCATAGCTAGCCGGACTGGCATTTAAATTTTCCCCCACCGGGTTGGAGATTTACCTCTTTCTCTTTCTCTGTCTTTGTATCTCTCTTTCCCTCTTATTTTTTTCTTTTCCCTCTTCCTCTTTCTACACCTTACTTTTTCTAATTAGTTCTTAAGTAGAATTAATTCTTCTCTTCTACTTGCTATTTGTTTAGTTTGTTAGGTCTATAATGTCTTTGACCACATTTGGCTGTGAATCGGGGCATAGCTGGCCAACTGGCAAATAAAATTCCCCCAACGTGTCGGAGGCATTAATAGACGTCATTGTATAGCTCTCCCTTAGGCTTTCTTATCTTTTAAGTTTAACTTATAATGTAATACTATAAATATCTTTATTTTACTTTCTAATATTATCAATTATTTATTGACAGTAAATTTGTTGATTTTTTTTATAAATAAATAAATAAATGTTACATACTTTGCACAAACCTAATATACCCTTTTTACCCTACGGGTACAGGGTATAA